ACAAGAAAGGAGACAGATGACTTAAACAGTAATAATTCTTAGTGTTCAGAGGGAACACATATGCAGACACAGGTCCCAGCTAGCACATCTCATCTCGTCACACCAAACCAATTAAGTTAAGCCAGTGAAACTCATTCCGTCTGAATATGGTACTAGGTAATGAGGTCAAAATCAAGTCGAGTTGAGTTGGCAGGGAAACCTTGCAGATTCTGCATATTCCCATGACCATACACACATCGCAACTGCCTGCCAATAATTCAAAGATGTGATCATTGTCTTAAGGCTAACAGAAACCAAGACCACAAAACAGCATCAACCTTGCTGTCACATAAGAGCCATGGGAAGTATTAGAATTTTTTTTTTTTTTTTTTGCAGATTTTGCCTGCGTGATCTTAGGTGTCCTGGAACTCATGCTCTAGACCATGGTGTCCTCATCTTCAAACTCGGGGATCCCACCAGTCTCTGCTGCCCACCTTCCACCCCTAGGACTCAAGGTGGGCACTACCATTTCCATCCTTTTTGTTTTCATCAGGGTCTCTACAGAGCCTCGAATTCAGAGATCCAACTTGCCTTAGCCTCCCCAGTGATGGGGGTACAGGAGTCAGTCTTTATCACTTTAGTAAGACCAACCACAATTCCTTAAAGCAGTAACAGTGAATAGAATGACAGAAAACACGACTGATAGTCATTTCTAAAAAGGGCCCACTGTCACAGCTCCATCTTCATATCACAAAAAGCTAGAAACCCCAGTGAAGCCAAAGTAAAGGATGAGTATATGAGTGACAGGAGTGAGGTGCTTATTCCCATGGCTCTAGCATGGCATGTATGGATGGGTTCCAACTCTAGAAGCATGGACATACAACTGAAGCCAGGTTAACAGAATTCCAAACACTGGCAAAGAGGAAAAAGCATTTAATGGGCCTAGGGAAAAATTACTGTAGGTTTATAGTGAATTTCCGGTCAGGCAGGGCTATAAAAGACCCTGTCTCAAAAAACAAAAAAGGGACTAAATTGGTCCACAGAGGTGTCAAGTAATGAAAATAAATGCCTAAGTTTGTAAAACACCACTGAATTAAAGTTACGTAAGTCTTGGGCATAAAAAAAAAAAAAAAAAAAAAAAGACAGCAATTAAAAAATAACTTTACCCAATTACTTCCTCTCTTACAAGAATACGTATCTTGTTTAGTGTTCAGACAGTAATGCCATTAAGACATAACAAAGGAGTCCTTTCTTTTCCAATCAGAAGAAAGTAGACCCTCATCCAAAAGCAACAGTTTCCTCATGGAGTCTTACTCACTCCATGTAATCCAAAGCTTGCTTCACGAATCCCCTGGCCTGGCCAACAGTCCTTTCCTGAACTCATCCTCTGACGGCCCCCCCCACTTGTTTTTCCTGAAACAGGGTTTCTCTTTAGCTTTTCTAGACCTCATGTAGTACTACTTCCTCTACAACCTTAAATTCAGAGCCCTGATTATCACTAAACTGTCCAAAAGATATCTACAACAATAAAAAAGTTCAACAAAATGCTCAAGTATTTTCAATAATGCTACATATTTTTAGGTTTTCTGAGACAAGAGTAACTACCTAGCTAGCTGACCATAACTAGTTATTTAGATCAGGCTAGCCTCAAACTTGCTAAAGATCCCATACTGCTCTCTTGAAAATCTAAATGTTGAAATTACAGATGTGTGCCACCATGAATTCTGGTTACCTTCTTTTTTTGAGACAGGGCTTTTCTGTGTAGCCCTGACTGTCCTGGAACTCACTCTATAAACCAGGCTGACCTCAAACTCACAGATCCACCTGCCTTGCCTCCAGGAGGGCTGGGATTAAAGGCATGTGCCATCACCACGACTGGCACCTTCTTCTTCTTTTTTTTTTTTTTTGGAAACACTATGTAGCTCTGGCTGGCCTCAAACTCTGCCTGCCTCTCTGTCCCACATATTCTAGGATTAAACTACGACTGGCTACTTGTCACATTCTTTATATGAAACAACAAAAATCATATATCGTTTTGTTCCATGTAGCATTTGTAAAATATACCAACAAAGCATCTAAACCCAAATATTACAACCTACATTTTGTTGAGATTTCTGTGTAAAAAAAGGTTTTTGAGTCACTGCCATTAAGTTCAATGTTTACAAAAGACTTACACAAGAGAAGTTATGTAAAATGAGCAACGCTGATACAGGACCACCTCAGTGTTGAAACCAAAGGATCTGGTGGGCTAAGAAAAGGAATTACCCCCCCCCCAACTCATCCACATCTATTTAATACAACATATAAATTACTGTCTCAAACATGACACTGAGATAATGGTCAGATAATTTAACAACTGAAAAAAGTTTTTATCTGTCCAAATATGCAGTTAAAGACTTCACTTAAAAAAAGTAGCTGGGCGGTGGTGGCACATGCCTTTTATTCCAACACTTGGGAGGCAGAGTCAGCCTGGTCCACAGAGTGAGTTCCAGGACAGCCAGGACTACACAGAGAAACCCTGTCTCAAAAAATAAAAAAGGAAGAAAGAAAGTAGGCTAAAGGCTTACGATGTTGGGGAGGCATTCTAGGATGCTGGTAATGTTTTACTACTTCTGACAGTTTTTTGGGTACTGTAAATCTCAAGTTATTTGGGTTCTGTAATTCTTCTTTGTACATAATCAGGAGGTACTATCCTACAAGATAAAGATGAGGGAAAACATTACTCCCTAAGGCAATAGCTTACTACAGGGCAGTCACTAGCCAAGCTGAAGAGATTTGTTGGAGGTTTGGGCTACATAACACATTAAAGCCAGCAAGGGTAAACTGTTAGGAACAAAGCTTTGCTTTACAAAATGAAGAGCTCAAGAAAACTGTTTTGTTTTCTAGACAGTTTCTCTGTGTAGCCCTGGCTATGCTTAACTCAGAGATCTGCCTGCCTCTGCCTCTCAAATGCAGGGACTAAAGGTGTGCGCTGCCAATGCCCAGTGTCAGAAAACCTTTTAAAGGTCTAACTAAACTGTATTACTAAATAATACAGTTTATTTAGGTTCCCTCACCAGGGCCAGGACCGTGGGTGTAGTAGAGAATGCTTTTAACTTGAATTTGGATTTTGGTGGTTATCAGCAAATAGGGTTTTTAACAAAGATGACTAAAAAGTGGCAATGATTTATCAAGCAAAAACAAACAAACAAACAAAAACTGCAATCGCCTTCTTGGGCTTTAAGGGGCTAGGAGAACAACAGAAGGACCACCGAGGAAACCATTTTCCACCAAGGTGTCTGTGGGTCATCTCTTAGGGGCATTCTTGGTAGCCTGCTATCAAAACCAGCATGTACTTGTTTACAGACTATATCGTTAGATTTCCTAAGCACAAATGAAGGACCCGGAACTTTTCCTGTCTTCCCCCTTCGCTTTCTCCTACTGCCTCCAAAGCCCCCCCCCCCCACACCAGACTCCAGACACCTCCAGAGGCCAAAAATCAAAAATCAACACCGTACCAGTGAACTGCTGGCGAAGGCTGGCCACACTCATTCGCTTGTAAAGGACCGCAACATCAATCACATTCTAGAGCGCCCACCACGGACTTTCCAACTCGGGCTCCGGGTCTCTCTTTCCCAAGGCCTCGACGGGGCCAAGAAATAAAGCAGCCTGCTAGCTTAACGAGCAGACCGGCAGAAACGCGCGGCCTGCGGCTTCCTGCTTCTCCTGGATCAAGGATGCTAGAAATTTCTCTCTGGGAAGATTCTAATCCCCGGATCCGCTCGGACCCTGTTACACAACCGATCCCCTGCGCCGCTGGCTGAGAAAGGGACCCTGGGAAGCCGCTGCTTTTTTGGTAAGGAAGGAGGTGGAGTTAACACATGGTAAAAAATCGAAGCCTGCGAGCGGGGAGAACGCAGACGTGGGGGGCCCGCTAGGCGCAGAGGCCGAGCAGGCCCAGGCCGGGGGCCCTGGGGGCCGCAGCCTCGGGGCGCCCGGGGAGGACGGGGCTCCCGCTCCGCACGCCGGCGCCCCTCGGCCTGCACGCCCGCGACGCTCCTTTTTGTGTGCTCGCTTGTTTGTTTGCTTCTTCTCCCGAGTTCCCGGGGAAACCCTTGCCCTCGGGCCAGCGACGGGAGGCTCCGGGGGCAACCGGCCGCGGCCCCTCGAGGCGCCACCCGCCGCCCCGCCTCACGCGCCTTCGGGGCGCCGGGCCCGGCCGCGGTCCCCTTTCGGGCCGCCGAGGCCGCAGGCCCCGCCCACGTGGCGGGAGGCCGGGAGCACCCGCACCCACAACCGCCACACAAAGGGGGCCGCAGCGGGCCCCGCACGCCCCGGCCACCGCGAGGCCCTCCGCGCGCCGACGCGGGCGCCGGAAGGTTCCAGAACCAGCCCGCCCGGTGGGGGGAGGGGAAGGGAACGCGGCCCCCCCCGGACCCGCCGGGCCGCGGCGGGCACCCCAACCCCTTTCGGCAGCCCCACTCGGCCATCCCCGACACCCCCAGAGGCGAGGGCCCCCCGCTTCGGGCGTCCCCGCCGGCGCCGGCGCGACCACGATCCCGCTCCGCTTACCCGTGGACGCCATTTTCTCTCCTTCCTCCTCGTTCTCTCAACGTCCGTCTCCCTCTCGCGGTCCCCCTAGGCGCCGCACTGCGCAGGCGCGAAACCCGCAACCTCGGACGCTACCATCGGGCCGGGCCGCGGGGGTGCGCCGAGGGCGACGAGCCGGCGCTCTCCGAGCTCTCCGCTCCCGAAACCGTTGACCAGGTCCTCTCCACAGAGCCGGACGTGACGTGTGGCTCAGAGAGGCGCCTCAAGGGCCGGCGCGGTGGCCGGCGAGTGGCTCCCACCAACCCCAGGGATCCTCCGCGCGAGGCCCGGCGGCTTGGAATGGTTACGCCCGCCGGCTCTAGGGAGCGTCTCTGAAGAGTCTGCCCTGGAGGGAGACGGAGGCTGGCGGGAGGGCTTGGGGCGGGGGAAGGGATCCGGGCCTGGAACAACTGCTGACTAATCGACAGGCGGGATCACGCGCCCGTGTGTGCGTGTGTGTGTGTGTGTGCGCGCGCGCCTTGGGTTTGGGACGCCCAGGGCTCTGCCGGGAGCTGGCGGCCCGACTCGCGGGCGGGTCCCCCCACGCACATCCGTTTCTCCGGGGTTGCGGGGGACGTGGTCCTCGGGACCTCGGACGCGTGGCCCGAACGGGCGGGGGAGGGGACCGAGGTCGGTCGCCTTCGGGAGGGAAGCCGGGAATGGCGCGCCCGACCCCACTTAACGGTCGGGGTCGAGGGCCCCACAGTCATCCTTCAACCACTCCCCTTGCTTTTAACAGAAAAAGAAAACCCGGGCCCAAGAGACTGAGTCTTTTGCACAAAGTTACAAAGCTGAGTTGGACCCAGACCCCGGGACTCCCCTCTCTGTGCCACCCGGAAGCATCTCCCCTGCCCTTGACTTCCCACTCTGCCCTCCCGGCTTCCCAGTAAGGTAGGCAGGGCGTGATGGTGCAGAGCGCCGAGAAGTCCCCGACGAGGGTTCCAGAGGGACACTGGGGCTGACGGCTGCAGAGTGAGGAGTCTGTTAAGTTCCTAACGCCGTGCACAGACACAGCCGAACAGTAGCGTGGCGGGGGAGGGCTCGGGAGAAACCAGGGCCCTTGTGGGAGAAGTAGGCGTGTCACCTTTCCGAGGATGGCAGTGGGGGCGGGACGCGTGGCCACCAATTTCCGGTTTGATGTAAATTGACCTCAGGTGAGAGATGCGGGCACCTGGAGTCTGTTAGCGACTCAGAGTATCTCAGTGGGGTGCCTGTCGGAATCTGAAAGGGGAAAGGCTGCTGCTTATATTCTCTTCTAGGAGCAGCAGCTGGAGTGATTATTTGACTTTTACAAGATCCATTTTATTAATTGAAGATATGGCTGGAGATGAAGGCGCAGTGTTACTGCTTGCCTAGGATGTGTGAGGCCCAGGTTTCTAATCCCATCACCAAGAGAGAGAAGAGGCTGGTCGGGAGGACTCGAGGCCCAGTTCTGTGTACCCATGGACCCGTCTCTTAGTGCCCAGGGTTGGGATGGTTGTGAGAAGGTGCAAGAGGAAGCTTCAGTCTAGGGGACCCTGCCTCCAGGTAAGGGTGGAATCTGCCTGCTTTTCTGAACTTCAACCCAGTAACACAGGTCAAGGGCGGAGCTCACCCCAGATCCCAAATCACACCAGCAGGACCTGGGGCCTTGCTAAAATATCTTTCAATGGACACATATAAAACCTTGAATATGTGCAAGGAGCATTATCCTGGTAAACCTGGATGAAAGGGAACCTCCTTGCTCCATCATTTCAAACCACTTGAGTAGGGGAAAGCTAAACTGCTCATTAAGATAAAATTCCCTACGTGGGAAAGGGCCCTTCTGAACTGCACTTCCCAGAGATAGGAGATTGCCTACTGAGGGGATAGAGGAGAGGACATTTCAAGCAGAGAATTTTGGAGACTTGAGAGGACTGCTAAGAAGTGGCAGCAGGGCCTGGAGGAAAGGCTGGGTGTGGGGAGAGTACAGGGGAGAAACACTTTGCTGTATGGGCAGAGAACAACCATGTTTGGGGCCAGAACTTGGACCAGCTGGGCCTTTCCTTGTAGCCTTGTAAAACCTGTTAGGTGTGGTGCTTTATTGAGAAAGAGCTGGGGGCCAAACCAGGTGCAATGGTGCAGATTTGTGGCCCAGCACTCAAAGCGTAGGCAGAGAGAGACAGGAGAATGGCACATTCCAGGCTAGCTTGGGTTACACTTGGGACTTTGTTTAAAACAAACAAAACTTTTTTTAAAAAAGATTTTAGTTATTATGTATACAGTGTCCTGCCTGCATGTGTACCTACAGGCCAGAAGAGAGCACTAGATCTCATTTAGATGGTTGTGAGCCTCCATGTGGTTGCTGGTAATTGAACTCAGGACCTTTGGGAAAGCAGTTAGTGCTCTTGACCTGTGAGCCATCGGTCCAGTCCACCAAACAAAACTTTAAAAAAGAAAGTCGTGGACCTCCGGTCTATTCCCTTCTCTTACCATCCTGTAAGGAAAATGTACCTTAATCACCATTTCACGGACTAGGAAACTGTAAAGATGACCTTCATCCACCTCATATTGAGGTGTGCTTCTGTATAGTAGATTGTTACTTGCAGAATGGGCAGTGAGCTGAATGCTAACAGATTCTGGTATTGTCATTACTATTGAGGAATCTCCAGTCTCAGTGTTGTGTAGAAATTGTTCTCATCGTCTCTGATTGGCTAATAAAGAGCTGAATAGTCAATAGGTAGGAAGAGAGTTAAGGTGACACTTGCAGTCCAGGGGTGAAAGGGTTAGGGGGTGGTCCCAGGTGGACAAGAGACAAACAGGAGATGATGTTGCCAGACCATGAGGATGAGGGGGAAGAAGAGGGTTACCTGGGTCATGAGGGAGTCACCCTGAGGACAAAGATGGAGCAGAGGTGGCCAGGGCAAGACTGAAGGACAGGTGACAGGGCATATGGCTGGGAAGTAGGCCAGGCTAGCATAGACAGCATAGATGATATTCTGCCCAGATATAGTACTCTAAAGCTTATTACAACTGTAACAGGTCTCCATCTCATTCGTTGGGTGCTAGAGTGGACATAGAAAAAAAACCCTTTAATTCAAACAGAAAACTTGCCCAGGGATACACTGCAGACACTGAAATATCCTTAGCAAAATGAGGCTAGGGCCGGGGTTGGGGAGGAAATAGTGCCACAGATCTGAATCACTTGTGAAGCTTGGAAGGTGGGACTCCTGTAGCCTCACTTTGAACCCCACACTGCTTGTCCCATTAGGGAGCCTCCGCTCCTTGGGGGCATCAGGGCTCCCTAAGGCTGGAGCAAAAGAAGGGAGGGAGGAAGTGTGAGGCTGGAGCTGGCCTTGACTTTGCCATTCCCAGGGGGAATGTACCGATCCGTTTAGCAGTGAAGGGCCCCACTTCAGCTTTTCTGTCCCTGTATCTTCTGCTAAGACTTCAGGACCCACCAGACTCTAGATTTTTGAAAATGGGTCTCATGTCACCCAGGTTGTTTCTTTTTAAAAACAGTAAGTAGTCGAGAACTCAATTGAAGTTTTCTTTCATCTTTTTCTAGCCCTGGGAAGCAAGTACAGGTGCCTATGTGTGCTAGGTAAGCGCTCTACTCTTCCTGACCTTGTCTCCACTTCCTATGTGCTGGGACTACAGCTGTGCACTGCCACACCAGCCCCTCAGGACTCTAGGCATGGCCCTGCCCATCCAGACACATGGGCAGGAGGGACAGGAAGGTGGCCAATATGCACACAGGTTGGGGCTTGAGCCTACCGTGGTTAAGCTATTGGACCTGTCTTTGCAGGTTCAGTTCCTGCCTCTATAAAATGGAATGATTGGTAAAATAATTGAGAGGGAGTTAGATAAAAACAGCAAAAATAATTTGCTCCTGTTTTTGTTTATTCCCCAGCATTCAGCCTCAGGACCACCTTTAACCACCATCATCCAAACTATGCATGCCTGGGACCCCCCTGGCTCACAGTCCCAGACACTGCCCCTTGCTTCCTCAGCCCTGATGCTGCTGCTGAGCTGCCTGTGGTTAGTAGGGGCTGGCCCCAGCCTCACATTGGCTCCAGAGCTGCTAATGGACCCCTGGCAGGGTGAGGACCAGCCCCGAACCTTGAAGGAGCTAGAGACCAACTGGAAGAGACAGTTAGTGGCACTAGTGTGGTGGCCAGACAAGGATAGGACAGTGTCGTGGGGCAGGTTAGCCTTCACATGTGCCCAGCTCGCCCACAGTCAAGAAACAGGGCAGAGGCTCCTGTAGGAGGCACAGAAGGTGAGCTGGGGAGCTGTGGTAGGAGTTCTGAATGCATCCTTTTCTGACAGCTTTCCCTGGAAAGAAGGACCAAGGTCTTCAGCCAAACATACTTCCCACAAACTTCCCTCCGGGTTGCATTTTAGGAACCCAAATGTTGAGAGAGGTGAAGTGATTTTTGAGGTTATGCAGCTCTGTGGGAGTGGGTGGTTCTAGCAGGCAGTTCTGTAGTTCTGTTAGAACTTGTGCTATTAACCAGCTATAAAAGAGATTTGGTAAATGTGACAAACAGCTTCACTGTGCCTGAGACACAGCACCACTCAGTAGCTGCTTGCCAGTGAGAAGACTGCATGCTGGTTCTCTTTAACTAGAAAGTAGCTGTGATGTTGAAGAGCCATTGGTCCCCTCTACCAGTGATTCGGTAGTGGCATTTGACATCCTGGCTCTAGGTCGGGGAGGCTGGCTACCAGGTGGCCCTAGTAAAGGGTAATACATCCTCTTATCTGGCACTCTTCTTGTCCCCAGTGCACCGTCTGCTGACCCATGCTGTGGGCCATACCGCACTGCCAGGCCTGCTCCTCAGCCTGCTGCTCCTGTCCACTCTGGGGTGGTGGCAGGAGTGCCACCTGGGTACGCTGCGCTTCCTGCACAACTCCATCCTGCTTGCCCTGGCCACTGGGCTGCTGGCTGTGCTGCTGGCAGGCCTCGGGGCGTCTAGTGCAGCTGGGGGCTGTGGCTACATGCCTGTCCATCTGGCCATGCTGGCAGGGCACAGTTACTACCCTGGATGGCCTCAGGGGACTCTGCCACCATGGCTGCTCCCATGGCTGCTGCTGGCCCTGACCCTGCTGCTAGGCTCTGAACCACCCTTCCTGCAGCTCCTGTGTGGCCTTCTGGCTGGCCTAGCCTGTATCCTTTGCCTGAGCTCAGAGTCCGCGTGGACCTGTGGCTGAGCCTCTGGGGTGCCTCAGAAAGAATGGCACAAGGGAGTCATACCAGAAAATGCCAAGTGACCAAACACTGCTCCTGACACATCTTCCTAAGCCGTGTTCTGGGCTGGGGACAGGGCTTATGGCCAAATGGAAGTGTCAGTTTCAATCAAAGGACCCCACGGGATGCTTTAGAGAGTCGAAGGGACCTAAGTCACTACCCTGGGTCCCGTGTGAAGGACGTCAAAGCTAAGATGAGAGGGCTAGGCATTGGGCATAGCTAAGCAGGCTCAGGGTGGGAGTGAGCCTGGGCTCTCTGGAAACAGGGCCAGCTTGGGGCCCACGGTACAGGTATCTTAAACGTAAGCTTTGCTCCCAAGATGCGGGGAACATGGCCACCATAGAGAACAGGCTGACCCATATGGCCCTTCAGGCAGTCACATGGGGCCATTTCAGAGTCAGACACCAGCTACTCAAGTCTTGCTGAGGGTAGGAGGATATGTCTTCAGGTACACAGGATCTGGGAACAGGGTTATGGGTGGCTGGGGAAGGTGGGAAAGCAGGGTTGGGGAAGGCATGTTTGGTTCTTCCCCTCTGGCTGAATAGGTAGGTAGCTCCCTTTCGTTTTTACCTTCAGCTGCTGATACGCATGAGGGATGGAGCAAGGGAGATTCCTGGGAGTGCCCAGCATATTCCCTTCCCCCAGTTCATTTTGTTTTTCCTTGACCAGCTGCCCTGCCCTGGGCAGGCAGACGCTGCTGGGGCCTTCCGGTGGCTGGAGCTCTCGGAGCGGAGACTGCAGCTGTTACAGGAGGGTGCTCTTTGCAGGACTCTGGCCCGGTGCTGGCCACTGAGGCTCCTTCCTACCCCAGGCAGTCTGGCTGAACTGCCTGTCACTTACCCTGCTGGAGTGAGGTGAGGGTAATGCCGGGGGCTCAGCATTGGTTGGTGGAAGTTGTGACAGTGGCTGAGAGCCCAGGCCATCCACCTCTGTCCCTACAGGCCTGCCCCTGGACCTCCTTACCTGCCCCCCTCAAGCTCCTGGACTCACAGTGATGGCTCTGCCCAGCACCCACCAGGCCTGACATGGAAGGACTCAGAGAGCAGCTTGGGCTGGGCTGGGTCCAGCTTTGCTCCAGGAACCCCAATGTGGGCAGCCCTGGATGAGCAAATGCTACAGGAAGGGATCCAGGCCTCACTTCTCGATGCGGCAGTCCAGGGTCCCCAGAGCTCTCTTTGGTTGCCCAAGTCCTCTGTATCTTCTCTGCGGTAAGACAGGGTGATCAGGGGTACAGCCTCTTGATGTGGGAGCCGTGCCGTCCTGACATTTCTTCCTTGTCCCCATCTCGTAGGCTGCAGCAGCTAGAGCACATGGGATTCCCTACTGAGAAGGCTGCAGTGGCTTTGGCAGCTACTGGACGTGTGGAGGGGGCAGTGTCACTGCTGGTGGAAGGCCTAGTGGAAACTGAGGCCCCAGTAACCGACGGGAGAAGTGGTTCTGCCCATTGCTAGGGCACTGGGCCCTCATAGTCCAAGACAAGAGTGGGCTTGGTCTGAGTCCTTGCCCTATCTACTTGAGGGCTTAGTGGGGTGTTGAAAGCACTAGGGGCAGGAATGGGCCCCAGCATGTTGCCCTGGTACTAAGAATAAAAGCTGATTTGTTTTTCAACCTGGCCTCCTGAATGGTGGTTGTCATGCCCGGCTCTTCTGTGTTAGCACCAGGGAGGATAAAGGAGTGAGCAAGCAGTGAATGAGTGGCTGATGGCAAAGGGTGACTCCTGGTATCTAAGACCACAGGGCCCATGCCCCAGTATCCTCAGCCTAGGTGGACCCTTACAGAGACCAGGCTGAGTAGATCAGGCATGGATGTTTATTGTCCCGTAAATAGCAATCCTTGGCATCTGCAGCAGATGCTTGGAACAGGAGTCCCTTCTATACATCCCATCCCCACGTGGGACACTGGGAGGAGTGGGGTCTTGGGACAGAAATGATGTAAGAAGCACCAACCACTCAGTCAGGGGTTAAGCAGCCTGGACTCAGGTGGAAGCTCAGCACCAGAAAACAAGGTTTTGCAGGAGGGGAACTGAGACTTCTGTCCCCATTTCTGCATGTCTACAGGGCCAGAGTCCCAGGTCCGTACTTTAGACAGCCAGGTCCGTACTTTAGAGATCACTGGAAGCCTGTACTCCCACCTATCCCCTTCAAGGCCTCTTCACCCCATTTCACAGAGGAAACTAGGCCCACGTCAAGTGAGGCCTGGCTTTCTGAGGCCCGGTCCCTGCTTAGGCTGCCGTCACTGAGCCCTGCCTACCCCAAGGCCGAGATGGCACGGGGTCCCTGAGGATATTAATAAATAGGAGCTGGCAGTCCCTGGAGGCAGCTGGCCAAGTCCAGGCGAGGGGAGGAAGCCTGGTGCGGACCCTGAAGAGCAACCACCACCCCTCAGCTCCTTTCCTTGCGTCTCCTGGGGGTCACGATCTGGTAGTTGGTTGGGTGTCCTCCCCTCTTGCCTCGAAGGAGGCTGGGGTTATCCGTGCCATCAGGGCCCGTCCCGGATCCCAGCTCTGGTTCTGCCGGAGGGAATAGGGAGAGAGGCTGTCAGGGTACATTCACATGGGGAGCCTGAGGGGTAGCAGGGCGCCCTAGCAGCTGTGGGAAATAAGGGCATCAAAAGGCTGGCTAGTACCTCCCTACAACCTCTTAGCCCCCAGGTCAGCAAGACACTTGGTCATCTGACGGATGAGGTAGCTAGACTTGCCACATTTACGTGTTTGGCATATGAATAATGCTCCCTAACTAATCATTTTGTTGTTATTTTTTCTTTCTTTTTTTTTTTTAAGATAGATTTATTTATTATGTATACAATGTTCTGTCTGCATGTATACCTGTATGCCAGAAGAGGGCACCAGATCTCTTTATAGATGGTTGTGAACCACCATGTGGTTGCTGGGAATTGAACTCAGGACCTCTGGAGGAGCAGCCAGTGCTCTTAACTTCTAAGCCATCTCTCCAACCCGTTAATTTGTTTTTCAAGACAGGGTTTCTCTGTGCAGCAGAGCTCTGGCTGTCCTTGAACTCACAGAGATTCTCCTGCCTCTGCCTCGTGAGTGCTGGGATACATGCACCGCCATGCCCAGCTAATTTTCTGAGGCTAATTTGAAGTGAAGAATTCTGGATCATCCAAATTTCATAGTTAAGGAAACCATGATGCTAGGGAAGAGCACTTTCCTCTTTCCTTGGGCTAAAGCGCTATTTGGAAGAAAGGGCTTTGTAAAGTCAGGCGCTGCCCCTGAGCAGCCTCAGGGGACCTGGACCCTGTCAAGGCCCCAGTTGTCTGATTTCTGAAATCAAGGACATTTTCAGATAAACCCTGAGGGCCGACAAAGACTGACGTCAGCTCCAAGGGGAGTTGTGAGATACGCCCTGACCTGCACATAACCTGAAGCTCCAGCGTCCAACAGCGTACTTGCCCCTGAGGAAACTAAAGTCCTTCAAAACCCAAGGAGGGGGTCTCTTGTCCGGGAAGCCAGGAATAATATCCTTTAGTACCCCCTAAAGCAGGGAGAAGAGCAGGGTAGCTGTTTTCCTGGCGGGGTGGAGTCCCAGCACGAGCACTTGCGCTGTTCCTAGGAAGCTGATAAGGACCACTTCTCACTGAAGGCGCTGCTTAGGGTGGGCCGCTAATCGGGGCCTTGTACATCCTCCAGGGGCTATCAGAAGCACAGCCAGCAGCGGCCTACCCAGCTCTTCTATCCCTCTGCGCTAACTGTCCCTTCTACAGAGAGGGGGGAGCCCAGAAAAGGCACTTAGAATGTGATGTTTGGGCCTTTGTTTCCAATGGTCCCTCAGGCCATTGGTAGGCAATGGGGGATGCAGGATGGGGGCTAAGAGGGTAGGGTAGGGACCACAGTGTCCCCTCCTAAGGCAGGGACAGAGCTGCTGAGGCAGATGTTTCCAGAGTTTAGAGAAGCCACAGGGCTAATGGGTGGGAATTACAAACCCATTACATACACTTTTTTTTTTTTTCCTTCTTCTTCTTCTTTTGACAAAGTTCTGCTCAGTAGCCCAGGCTGGCCTCAAATTTGCTCTCCAGGGCTGGGGTCACAGGCATGTAGCCACCGTTCCTGACTTGGACAACACATTCTCCAACCTCTAGATGTAATCTCACATTAGACTTCCTGTTTGGGTTCTTGATGGCTCCTCCACATGGTACAGCCAGGTGTCTTCCATGACCCCACACAGCGTCCCCACCCTTGGGGACCATCTCCTTTAAGTCTCTACAGTGAGTGACAGCTCCCCAAAGCCCAGCTGCTTTGCAGGGCCCAGTGCCCATCTGGGCCTAGTATCAGTTGGTGCTTCCTGGTTTTGAGGAACGAAGGATTGGTTTTAACGCTGCTCCTCCTGCCTGTGTAGCGCCTCAGGTCTCAGTTTTTTGAGAGGGGAGGCTGACACGATATGGAGGCCTCTGGCCATTGGGGAACATACGGGCTGTAAGCTGAAGTGGGGCAAAAGCTAGCCTGTGGGCTGGGGACTCTTCCTGTGACCGGCCAGGCCCCACCCCAGCTGTGGGCTCCTTAGCCTCACTCCGGGAGCCAGGCACCTGACTCCCTCTCATGCTGCCTGAACCTGCCTTCTAGAGCCTCCCCTAGACCAGCTCTGCTCAGTGTTAGCCTCCACCTCAAAGAACCCTTGAGGGGAAAAAAAAACCCTGTAGACTTCTCAGCCTTTGTTCTTCCTCTGCTGGTTCACTCAGCCTTGATTCTTGCTTCTGGTCTTCACTGAGACATCACCTCCAAGAAGCCTTCCTGGACTGTCTCCCCAAACTAGCTCCCTCCCGAATGGTGACGACTGAACCCATGGCCTTGGAGGAGGTGAGTGCTCCACCATGGAGCCATGTCCCCAGCAGGTCATACCTATACTTGCTACTCTGTTACTTATCTCGTCTTGGCCTTTGCTGCCAGTGGCAGACGACACCCCAGCTCTAAACTGCACAAGGGCAGGGCTACACCTATCGGCTATTTTGGCGCCTATGCCAACAGGTGACTGCCAGAACAGGAAAGCTAGTTCACTGTGCCAGGCTCTGTTTCCTTGATGAATGGAAGGATGCAAAGTGTCTTCCTGCCCAGACCAAGTGGGAAGCATCTTCTTCATGCCCAAGCCTGTCCCAGGCCCATCCTGAGAGGGTTTGCCCCTGCCTGCCCGCCCTGCTGTTACCTGGCCAGATGATGGCTTCCAGCAGGGTGACCCGTCTGGCCAGGAGCTCCAGCTGAGCCTGCTGCTGCAGGAAGCTCTGTAAGCTAGGAGCCTGATGGGAGATCGAGAAGAGCTCGAGAGAGATCGAGAAGAGTCTGGCCTCTAAGGGCTGGGCTGGGAGCCAGGGGGGGGTGAAGGCGGATAGATGCTGATAGGCTTGAGGGCAGGGGTCTGGACCAGCGCCTGCCAGACCTCAGTGTTCCCTCATGAGGTAGGGAGGTCTGCCTCGCTTCTCAGGTGGCCGGGTAGATGGGAACATGGAGGGTGAATGCCAGGCTGAGGGCCAAGCTCTCTTGAGCCCCGACAGGGAACTCAGGACACACTTGGACTACAGTGGTAACTGCAGGAGGGATACCTGAGGCCAGGAGGGCAGGTCCTGTAAGAGTCGTGACAAGTTTATGGGAAAGCTGGTCAGAATTGGTGAGTGCTCTATTACCCAGAGTCCTCTGGGTCCTGAGTCTACCTCTGTCACCCACAGTTCCCTGTACTTTTGGATGTAAAACCTATCTTCCTGTAGGTCTGGAGACTGGCTCCACTGACTGTGACTTCTCTAGAGCTCAGTAGAGAAGTAGAGTCTACAAACATTATCCATAATCCTATTGACTCGGACTGACCCATGATCCTTTATGGCTAGAGTCTGGCTGTTACCCACAGTTCCCTACTGATTAGGAGTCTGGTTTCTTTTCCTTCCTTTCTTTCTTTTTCTTTTTTTGTATTTCTTTTGTTTGGTTTTTCCGAGACAGGGTTTCTCTGTGTAGCTGTGGCTGTCCTGGAACTCACAGAGATCCAACTGCCTCTGCCCCCTGAGTGCTAGGATCAAAGGTGTGTGCCACCACACCCAGCTTAGGAGCCTGATTTCATTGCCCTTGATTTCTTGCAAATCTCATCCTCTGTTGTCTCCAAGCTCGGAAAGTCCTGTAAACTACTTCACCCACCATGCCTAGAGAGGCGTGAGGATGAGTCCAGGAGCAGAACCTTCGCCCGTAGAGAGGTGACATTCACTCAGGGTGGGGTAGCCTCTGTAGCCTAAGTCTTCAGCCTCAGAACTGGACTCAGGCCAGTTCCCCAGCAGGGTTTGGGGGAGGCTGGAAAGCAGGGGTTGGGCTGGCTGGCCGTCTGTCTGTCTCTACTCACCATAGAGCCCAATCATTGTTTCCAAGATTAAAACCCTCTCAGCTAAAATCTTCAAAGCCTCGCGCAGCTGGTGCAACCCCTCCCCCTGCGGAGGAAAGAGACAGATGCAGCCGTGATGGGGGAGCAAGGAGGGGACCCTGCAAAGCCTGCCGGTGGCCCATGCCCCACCCAGGACAGGCACCTGTAGCCCTGTACCACCTACCACAGCCCAGGACCCTTGGACAGCCAAACAAGATGGAGGGGGCAGGAGGGAGGCAAGGCAAGAGGAAGGGACCCCTGGAGACCCTCTCAGAAAGTGCCAGTTTATCCTAGCTAGCTACAAATCATGTCACTCCGGCGGGCACCGATCGGTTTTCTCCGCAGCCTGTCACCCATTTGTTTCCAAGGCCCCGTATAGCCCGCTTTCCTCCCCCTCCATTTTCACATCCTCTGCACAGTTCCTGTGATATCCCTGGGCCACCTGCACTCTGGGTGTGCGCTCTCTCTCTCTGTTCCCTCCCTCCCTCCCTCCCTCCCCCTCTGTTCTAAAGTCTTTAGGTTTTTAATCTTTCTCTCTCCTCATATTCTTCAAATTGACTTTTTGCTTTAAATGGTCATGCTAGCATCACCCTGTCAGTGAGAGCAAGCTAGTTGCCAGTGATTCTGTTTATGCTAGAGTGAGCATTAAGTGAAAACCAAAATGTCTGAAAGGCATTGTTGCCTAAGATGAGGCTGATCTAAGGCTCCAGCCCAGTCCCCTCCCTCAGGAAACTGTGCACCTCTCTGCCAAGACACCATTTCCACACTCCGACCCACCTCGGTGAGCACCCTTAGCCCAGCCCCTCTCAGTAGCAGCTGAAGGCACAGGGGTCTTCCCAGGGCTATGGTGATGGGTCTGCCAAGCTCCTTTTCCAAGGCCTTGCAGCCCAGGGCTCTCCACCACCCCACAACAGAGGCTCATTTAGAGACCTCTCTCGGACTCTCCCTTCCCAGCACAGGGTCTGTGGTCTTGTCCGACACTCCGTGTCCCCTCCCTCAACAACTTCCAGAAGGTAGTTGTTTTCCAGCAGAGAGCCAGGATGGTTGAGACAACTACCCTAAGCCTGACAGCGTCGAGAAGTCTCTTGGCATTTAGTATAGGTTGAATGAAGGGACGAATACACACATTGTGTGTGTATGTGTGTGGGGTTCAGACATGTGTGAGGGTATATATGCACGTGGACACTTATACAGAGGCAGAGGAGAATGTCTTCCTCTTGCTGTCCATCATATTTAAGATTTTTATTACATCTGTGTCTGTGTGTGTGTGTGTGTGTGCGTCTGATCATGCCATAGTGTACATGTTGAGGTCATAGACCAACTTGTGGCCACGGCGTGTGTGTGGACATCAGAGAACAAATTGAACGAATTAGTTCTTTATTCCCATCATATGGATCCTAGAGACGGAACTCAGTCTTGTGGCAACTGCGTTTACTGAGGCACCCTGCACACCTCTCCATTGTATTTGGTTTTCGATCTTAATTTGTGAGACATGGTCCTTTTTTGTTTTTGTTTTGTTTTGAGACAGGGTTTCTCTGTGTATCCCTGGATGTCCTGGACTCAATTTGTAGACTAGGCTAGCCTCAAACTCCCAGAGATCCGCCAGCTCCTGTCTTTCAAGTGCTGGATTAAGGCGTGCGCCACCACTGCCCATAGAGACAGGGGTGAGGGGGTTCCAGGCCCACCTAGCCTTCATGTGGATCCTGGAATCCAAACTCTGGTCCTCACGCTTGCTCTCTCTCCAGTTCCTCCCTACTTTTGTTTTCTTTGAGATATATTGTCTCTCTGTGGCCTAGGTTGGCCTCAGCCTCACAACGGTTCTGCTTCAGACTCCCATATGCCAGAGTTCCAGCTGTGAGCCGCTACCCTTGATTCACCATCCAACCCTCTGAAACAGCAGTTTTCCACAAGAACATCAAAGCAACTGAGAGGCCTCCCAGTCTCTCCACTGTGAGTCTGTTCATTCTCTGGGGCTATTCCTTATGCTCCAGCTGTCCTGTTTATATCAGAAAGATTGAGCTATTCTTGGGCCACCAAACTGCCGTTTCAGCCCTGGGTACTGGGGTCGCTATAGGTCACATGCCAAAGTCATCCCTCTTCAAGGGTCATGGGAGCAGGATGTGGAAAAGGATGATCCTGGGGCTGGGGAGATGGCTCAGTGCTAAGATCATACGGCTAGCCAGAATGAGGACCTGAATACGGAGCCCCAGGATTCCCATAAAAAGTCACCCAAGCCAGGAGGTGGCGCACACCTTTAATCCCGGCACTGGGGAAGCGGAGGCAGGCAGATCCTATGAAGTCAAGGCCAGCCTAGTTTACAGAGAGAGTTCCAGACAGCCAAAGCTACACAAAGAAACCCTGTCTTGGGGGTGGGGGGCAAGCCAACCAATGCTTGTAACCCCTGCACTGGGCAGGTATAGAGAAAGGCTGCCAGCCTAGCTGAAAAAATAATAGCTTTCAGGTTCAATCACAAGGGGACAGGGCAGAGAACGATACATGGGCACATACAAGCACACATGTGTATATACACAGGCATAACACACAGAGAGAGATGGAGAGATTGATTAAGGGCTGGAAAAAATGGCTCAACGGTTAAGCAATGGCTGCACTTCCAACGGGTCCAAGTTTGGAGTTCCAGCACCCACTCTGGGCAACTCACAATCTCCTATAACTCCAGGTCCCAGGAATCTGTCGGCCTCTTCTGGCCTCTTTAGGCACCAATATCCAGGCGCACCCCCCCCCCCCACATGCACATGAATAAACATCCACTGAGAGATGGCTCAGTGGTTAAGAGCACTGGCTGGCTGTTCTTCCAAAGGTTCTGAGTTCAATTCCCAGCAACCACATGGTGGCTCACAACCATCTATACTGAGATCTGGTGCCCTCTTCTGGCATGCAGGATCACATGCAGGCAGAAGACTGTATAAGTAATAAATGTTTAAAACAACAACAAAACATTTTAGAAGGTCAATCTTTAGAAGCACTATGAAGCCGTTCTAGCATGGACGATGGAGCAATGAGGTATAATCAAAGGGCACAAGGTCCCAGGCACGGGCTTAGAGCTCTTAGCTTTATGTCCTTGGGAATAAGCAGGTGGACAAATCTAGGACATTCACAGACCACCAGTGAGAGGAGCAGGAAGCACATTCTAGGCTAAAAGCCACCAGAAATGTGACAAACTGCAATGTGGGAATCTTGCTCTGATCCTGGCTAAAGCTCGTATATATTTTTATGTGTACGAGCAGTGTACTTGTACTCGCATGCATGTTTGTGAACCATATGTGTGCAGTGCCCAGAGAGGCCAGAAGCCCTCTTGGGGGTAGGAGTTCAAATCGCTGTGAGCTGCCACATGGGACTCGAACTCAGATCCTCAGGAAGAGCATAAGTGCTCCTGACCACTGAGCCATCTCTCCAGTCCTGTCACTTTTCTTGTTCCTCACGTGTATGGTGGTGGGGATGAAGCCTTGCGCATGCCGGGCAGGTGCCCCACCGCTGAGCACTATCCCTAGCCCACCTCTCTTTTATTTTGAGCTTTGTGTTCTCAGTATATTCTCCATCAAGATCTCACTCAGTGGTCCAGCCTGGCCCTGAACTTGGGGTCCTTGTGTCTCAGCCTCCTGAGCAGCTGGGATTGCAGGCTTATACACCGGGCCCATTGCTACTCTTTACTTCCCTTCAAAGCCAAAGCAGCACCCAGGGTCCCGACTCCACCGACAACTGTCTGCCTTGCTTCCTGCCCTTGCTCCCGCCTAACCGACCGTGGGATGCTCAGGATGCCCTCAGCCTTCTAGTCTGTCTGTTCTCAAAATTGGCATTCAGAAACATACTTTTCAAACAAAACCCTGACCATACCATTCCTCGCATTTTTTAAATGTTTTTTCCCCCTCTAATTCTTAAGTTTTTGAGACCCTCCCGTTTCTCACTCTGTAGCCCAGGTTTGCTTTGAACTTGCGGCAATCCTCTGCCTCAGCCATCTGAATGCTGAGGTTACGCATGTGAGCCACCCACGCCTGGTTCCCAGTTTAGAAATACTTAAATGATGCCCCAGTGTCCACCCAAAGTTGGAATTCCTTAATGTGGCCTCCTCATTTCTGAGGGCCCCTGTCCTTGCTCACTTCCTGTCTGCCAAACTGCCAATCCAAGCACTTGCTACTCTGCCTGCTCTGACCCCAGGCCCTCTGCTAGGTTCTTTTCATCACCAATACACCACGGCCCGATCCACAGCTAGGTTTGTTTTGTCCTGTGGCTGCTGACCATGGTGTTTTGCCCTGGGGTCTGTGTCTGCAGAGCGCCTCTGCATACTGCCCAACCCTGAGCCTGGCATGCAGAGAGAGGCTCAGGGAACGGTAATGGGTTCTCTAGCCCCTCTGAGAACTTAGATGTCTTATCCTGCTTCAGGTCTGGTCCCACTTTGCCACCAGTTTGCTCTGCGGAGTGTGTCCTCAGTTTCCCTGTCTGAATAAGGGATGAAGGCTTGCTTGCCTCTTAACTGGGCTCCTGCAGTACATGACTGTGACCACATGGGGACACTGCTGAGCCACCGCTAAACTTGGCAAGCCGCTCCGAAGCTGCATGGCCCCTAGGGGGCACCGGTAGGTGAAGTGTGTCGTAGTCGTCCATAGGATGACGTTCCCACTTCGCTCTACCGGGCACCAGGATCCCTACCTGCCTCCAACAGAGCTGGTCCCTCAGCCTGGAAGCCGCATGCATCTCCTGCACAGCGAACCCTCTCTCAGGCAGCAAGCAGGGGCAGAAGTACAGGTGATGAAAGGAGGGGGACAGGGAGGGGTCCTGCTACCTCTTGGGGGTCCCTCCCACGGGTGGGTCCTGGGTTCAAGGCGTGACCTGTTTTCTCACCCAGGGTCTCTGGGAGAGTGAGAGGCCTAGGGAAGGCAGAGGGTTATTCTCCCTGCACACCGACACTGTCAAAGGCCAGGTGCCACAGGGAGTGGATGGATGAGGGCGGAGGGCGGGGAAGCAAGCATCTGGGAGAGGTAGCAGGGCCCCTAGAAGTCACGGGGCTCACGGAGGTGGACTCGTGCAGGGCGAGGACTACCACGGCTGTATCCATCACTCACTCCATGACCACAAACAGAAGACAAGGTTGGCGGCTAGTGCGGGCCACACCCTCACCAGGGGCTCTCAGGGACTCAGGGACGACAGGAAGGAAAGCATGACGCCACCTTCTGAAGAGTGCCCAGGCTGCCTTTCTGGTAGGAATGTTCACCCCCACCCTCCCTATTTTCCAAGTGCTTCCCACGTTAGCCATGGTTGCCAACGCGTGCACCTGAGACTACAGGCATGGAGGGTTCTAGGCTTCCTTCCTTCCTTCCTTCCTTCCTTCCTTCCTTCCTTCCTTCCTTCCTTCCTTCCTTCCTTCCTTCCTTCCTTCCTTCCTTCCTTCTCCTGTGTCCTTAGCCAGAGTAGAGTTCTAGGCCACAACTCTGCTCATCAGTTATCACCATTGATCTCGAAGCCTCCCAGGCCCCCACACGCATGCTGAGATCGCTGACTATGGGATTTCTAGGCCTCTCTTCCCATTTGCTCAACATCTGCTATGTATGTGACATCTCCTAGGTTTCCCTTTCTGTGGCTCACAGTTTGCTTCATATGGTGGAGTCTAGATCACGTTATCTCGTTGTCTGCAGTTCTCTTTCCACAGACAGTTTCTAGGCTTCCCCAGTGGGTCCCGTGAAGTACGTGAGGCACCTATTACAGATCTTTTGGGCAGAGCAGAGTTAGGTCTCCTGACCTTATTCACCATGTCAAACATACACATAGTGGTTTCAAGGTTTCCCTTCCCAAGCCTCCTGGACTCTCCATGTGTTTGTTGGTTTCTAGGTCCCCAGTCCTTTGAATCACGGCTCCCTTGTGTGTCTCTTTTTTTGTTCCATGACTTTCCTAAGGTCCCTTTTCTATTTTAGGTGGATGTTGCCTTCAGGTTTCCCTTTCTTCTGTGGACGACAGGACAAAGCCAGAACCTTTGACAGGAGGGACCACGGAAGTGGAGATGCAGTCTGGCCTGGGTCACCTAAACTGCCCAGCAGGAATAGGCTAAGCCACCTTGGCCTGGAAAGGCTACAGAGGGTGAGTGGGTGAAAACAGAGGCAGAGACAGTGAGTATGGGGGCGGGGAGCGAGGGGGGTGTAGTCTGCTGGAAGGGCTGCCCTGGCTAGCAGGGAGGGCCGGGGAAGGGTATGGGAGCAGGGCTCCTGTAGCATGGGACTAGGACATCCTCCATCCCAGGATCTACTGGTGAGAGAATTATTTCCTTAACCACCCCCAGGGTGGCAGGGGAGGGCAGGGGGAAGCAGGTAGAGGCAGCAGGAGGCAGGGATGGGGTGGGGGGAAGCAGGAAGGAGCAGGGCAGGAGAGGGGAAGCAGGTACAGGGCTGTGGCTTACCCAGTGGCTCTTCTCACCAGGGTCTCCTTTGGGGCCTGGCTCTCCCTGAAATGAGTCAGAGACAGAAGTAAGGAAGGGTAGGAGGAGAGCAAGAGGGGGGCGGCGTGAGGGAGAAAGGCTCACAGAAACCTGACGACAGTGGCAGAGCAATTGCCCAGCACGTGTGAGTTCCTGGGTTCCACCCTTGGGGGGAGGCACTGGGAGCCCAGGATAGAGTCCAGTTGATAGAGTCTGCCCTGTCACACAGGCGGCAGAGTCTGGAAATACCCAGTGCTTTCTCCTGGAACTGCAGAAACCCAGGCCTTAAAATAAGGGACACATGCCAGGGCTAGGGAATTCTTCTAGGATCAAGAACAAAACCAAAATGGAGTTTGTGCTCAAACTAAATTTCTGAAAGAGTGACATCTCTAACCTAGCTGTCCAGGGGCACTTAGCACTTCTCAAGAAAATAGTAGACTGAGCCGGATGTGGTGGTGCATGCCTGCAATCCCGGCACTTGGGGAGGCAGAGGCAGGTGGATCTCTATGCGTTCGAGGCCAGCCTGGTTTACAGAGCGAGTCCAGGACAGCCAGGCTATGCAGAGAAACCCTGTCTAGGAAAAAAAAAAAGAAAGAAAGAAAGGAAGGAAGGAAGGAAGGAAGGAAGGAAGGA